ATGAAGTAATAAGAATTATAAAATATTTTTAAATAAATTATTATGAAAATATATCTAAACTGTTGCAATGCAGTTAAAAAAGTGCCTAGAGGGCAATTTATAGCTTGAAATGCTCAAATTAGAAAAAGAAGAAAGGTTTAAAATAAATGAGGCAAGCTTCTACCTTATGCAGCCAGAAAAAGAAGAGGAAGTGAAACCTAAAATAAGAAGAAAAAAAATAATAACAAAAATAAAATTAATGAAGTTGAATTGGATTCTTTTTAAAAAAATTTTTTTATTTTTTGAGATGGAGTCTTGCTCTTTTCACCCTGGCTGGAGTGCAGTGGTGCAATATCAGCTCACTGCAACCTCTGACTCCTGGGTTCAAGAGATTCTCCTGCCTCAGCTTCCCTAGTAGCTGGGACTACAGGCATGTGCCACCATGCCCAGCTAATTTTTGTATTTTTAGTAGAGATGGGGTTTCACTATGTTGGCCAGGATGATCTTGATCTCTTGACCTCGTGATCTGCCCGCCTCTGCCTCCCAAAGTGCTGGGATTACAGATGTGAGCCACCGTGCCCAGTCAAATTGGATTCTTTGAAAAGATTAATATACTAGACAAACAAAAATATCAAGTAATATAAATATAATATATAAAATTATAAAATATTAATATATTAGAAAATCAAAGGAGAGAAAACAGAAATTAATATTAAGAATAAAAGAGGGGATATTACTCTAGGTATTTCATGTATCAATAGGACATCAAGAGTTTAATAAACATTTTGTTTTAGCAGATTACAATTCCCTATAGCTTTCTGAGAATGATGCATGGAAGGCAATCTATTTTTTGAAAACCTACCTATTTGAAAATGTTTTATTCATTGTCACACTTGATAATTTGGGTATAGAATTCTTAATTTCCTGTCATATTTGAAGGCATTTCTCCACTGTCTTTTAGCTTCTAGGATAGTATTGCTGTTGAGAAGCCTGATGCTATTATGATCCTGAACTTTTGTATGTGATTTTTTAATCTGAAAGCTATTGGGATCTGAAAGCTACTACAAAGTTATACTCCTTGGCTCCAAGTGCAACCTTTCAGGTTGAAAACCCATAGTCTGCAATTCTGGGAGTTATCTTATTTCTTTGATAAATTTTTTTCCATACTCTCTCTGTAATTTCTAGTGGTATTCCCATTGTTCATGTCTTTTTTTTTCAAACATTATAAGAAATACTAAAATAAAAAAATTTATCTTCCAGTTCTTTTGTTACAATGTAAAATTTTATTTTATTTTTTTTAAATTTGAAGAGTGCTCTATTCTCTGAATTTTCTTTTTGAAACATAGCATCCTGACCTTGTTTTATAACTGTAATGCTGTCTTAATTTCTGTGAGGTTATTTATTACAATTGGCTCTTGCGTCTCTCCATATTGCTTTTCTTTGTTGAGTTCTCTTTTTGTTAAAATTTTTGTTTGTTTGTTTAGGTCTCTTTCATGTTGATGCTTTCCTCGAAACATTAACATGCTTGGCTTACTGTTTGTATTTAAAGAGTGAGGCACTAAGAATCTGACTGAGACACTAAAATATGGCTGGGCTTATTGATTGGGCGAAGATCTAGTAGTTTATATGGACGAACACACCCAGCTCTCAATATTAGTTATTTTCTCTTGAGCTGATCAAGTTCTTCAGAAACGAATTCCCCAATTTTCTGACTTCCAGTGTTTTACAAGTCGATAGGGAGATCAGTATTTTACAAGTTGATAGGGAGAAGGGGATCAATGGTTTAATTATTTAGAGTAAACTCCTACTTTCCTGATGAAATAGTATATTTCATCTGACTGGATGGGGTGGGCGAAAGGCTGGGAAGGTAACTGCCCTCTATATAGGTTTTTAGTCATGCTCTTGTTTTCAGTCCCACTCTTCACCCTTCACCCTCTGTAGTAAGCAATTTCTCAATTTCCTCATGCTTCCTGGGATTCTGGAGACCAACTAGCTTACCTGTTATTGGCTTCCCAGTTCCATGCCCTTAGGTTTCATTTCATCTGCTTTGCTAGTTAACATTGGCCCATCTACTTTCTATCTTCCAAAATTATAATATCTCTTATTTGTTGTTATCCCCTCTACTATTCTTTTTGTTCTGTTATTATTCTGATGGCATTTTAGGATGCAATAGAATAAAGCATGTATATTTAAACTACCACGTTTGATGAGTACCCTCACTAATAAGTTGCAAAGAAATTGTTACATCAAAAGCCGCAAGGATTTGACACTTGAGAATAGATGGTTCAACAGTTTTTTATGCTAGTAGAGTAGGGATCTTACCACCCTTTGCTCATTTCATCCCACACAGTACAGATGTACCAGTAATTCTCCCTATCCACCAGATAGGCTGATAATTCACTGTATCCACCAGATGTCCACAGTCCCACCTCCCTTTCTTGGGGTACATCTGCACAAATGGATGGGGTTTGGGGAAAACAGTCCACGCAGGGCAATCAGTGGTTGAGGTGCTGGATGATAATGAAGTGAAGTTCTGAGCATAGGTCAATAAGAACAATTGGGATCATTGCTGGGCACACGAAATAGGACATTTTTGCTGAGTAAGGGCTGGGCATTCTGCCTGAGCAACTCACTTTCTAGTCAGCTTCTGGGCTTAATGGTCCTTTGTCAGCTACTCTTTCAACTCCTATGAGGCTGTGGCCCTCTACCCTTCTTGAACAACTCTCCAATGACTGCTTCTAGACTTTGGATGTCACCTTGTACTCACTGACCTATTTCTATTTCTCCTTGTCCACTTCTTCCTTTTAATCTAGGGGAACTCTTGTTTCTCCAAGGGGAACATCCTTATTTCTACTGTCTCCTCAAATTTCAATTATCTTGTTCTTTAGCATTTGATTTATTGGCTCATTAAACTTGGAACCCAAATTACTATCAACCTCAAAACAAGTTTTCTTTCTAGGTAACTGGTCTAATGTTTAAATTATTCTAGATAACTGACCTAATGTTTAAATATGTAAATTCTATTGTATCAAAAAAGGGAAGCAAAACCACCAGGCAAATCTTAATCTTGAAATAGTCCAATGTTTTTATGGTGTCATGGATCTTTGATGACTTAAAATTGTGTCTCAACCAAGTCATTTGGAACTTTTGCAATACTCAGTCAGCTAGCCAAAAATTATTTTTTAAGTGCTTATCTTGTGCTAGCCTTTGGAAAAACAAAAGTAAATAGGAAAGAAAAGACTTCCTGCTCAAGAAGAGCCAGTGTTCGAGTTCGAGAGTTAGACAATAAGTATCCAAACCAAAAATGTATGTAAGAATACAAGAGAGAGTTAGGTTTCAAAGATGGTAGTCTTTAGAGCAAGATTATAGGACAGAGATCTTAGGAAGTGCAGAACCAGGTCAAAAAGAGGAAGAGTTGCAGCATTTTCAGGTGAACACTGTAATTTTGGGAGATGTAGCTGAAACCACAGAAACTGATTTCCTGTTTGATCAACTGAACCTGTTTTTTTTTTTTTTTTTTTTTTTTTTGAGACAGGGTCTTACTCTGTCACCTAGGCTGGAGTGCAGTGGCACAATCATGGCTCACTGTAGCATTGATCCTCTGGGCTCAAGTGATCCTCCCACCTCAGCCTCCCAAAGTAGCTGGTATGACAGGCATGTGCCACCACACCTAGCTAATTTTTTTGTAGAGATGGGGTTTCACCATGTTGCCTAGGCTGATCTCCGTCTCCTGGGCTCAAGTGGTTCATCCACCTTAGCCTCTCAAAGTGCTGGGATTACAGACGTGAACCCTCATGCTTGACTTCTTGTTTCTTAAAAAAATCATATTGCTGAAACTTCCTGCTAAGAATAAGAGGAAAGAGTGAATCTTTTTCCTACGATAAATCAATTGCTGGTAAAATATAAAATGAAGAGCTAAAAGTTCTTCCAGATAACACATAAATGCCTTTGCAGGAAAGTATCTTGCTGTTAAATCCATCTATGCAGTTAGGACAGGTAATTCTCCTTTCTAAACTGATTTTGTGGCTGCACTTTTATTATCTATTGAAAGTGGTAGGTAAGTAAGATAAAGGAAAGACAGGATAAGGATAGTATTCAGCATTGTGTTCAGTTTATGCAGTTAGATTTTTTTCTATTTTGAAATCTTACTTATTCTTCATTTCTTGTTCTTAAAATGCTTCTTAGGAAAACATTTGAAATAGATGTTTTTATTATCCAAGGTGCTTATGTTGTGGCAGATTTTCTAACTGTGGTCAAATTCAGATGGTAAATAGTTTTCATGATAAAAATGATGCTTCGTGTGCCAGTTTATCTTTTCATATAGTTATAATGGATATAGTTCATGTTCATTTTACCCTTGTTTCCCTCATGCTGTGGTATTTTTTACCACTCACCTCCAAGTATAGTATGAAAGGAATTATCTTCTGAATCACCTGCATCTCTCAACCGATCAGTTATGATTTAGTTAAGTGGGAACTATCCATAGAGCTAACCTGTATACTTTGGGCCCGTAACGCCACTTTGTTCTAAACTGCAATGAGGGTTTTCTATTTGATTGAAGTGTGGAGGAAAGACTCTGAGCTGGGGGAACACAGTTGCTGATAGACTGGCATGATAAAGGCTCTAATGCATGCACTTTGTAGAGCATGAAGGTAGTGTCTTTTTTGAGTCCAAATCTGGAGTCTGACTCAGTTCATGTCTAATCTTTGTCACTTGCCAGTTGTGTGACTTTGAGCAAGTCCTTGCTGAACCTTGATTTCTTCATCTGTAAAACAGAGACCTTAGTGTGTCTGCTTTACAATGATGCTATGCTCTTTAAATGAGGGTATATGTAAGATACTGAATATATGTAATAGCATGAAACGGGCTCAGTAAGTTAAAGACAAAAATAGAGAACTGTAGATACTAACATATTCTCATTTTCAGATTTTGACTTGATAATGGTAAAGCACATAAAGGATATTGACTAAATGTTTAAAACAAGAAAGTTGGGCAATATAACCTAATTTAAAAAAAGACAGGAAAATAGTGGACAGAGCAGTATTGTACAAGCAGTCACGTAGCAACTTTTCCTTGTAGTCTAAAGTGGATTTACTAACATAAATATTTGAATATTTCAACTATTCCTTTATAAGTCAGGCATCCATAACTGACTAAGTATCATTAATACAAAGTATCTTATGTATCTGTAATACTTAAAAGTTGTATTATTAAAAAGAAAATAAAATTGGAATATTGTGGGGGAAAAGATATTCATAGGGTGACATAAAAGACATAAAATCTTGTAGTGCATAAGGTTTAATAGTTCTCTTTTTCATAAATCATGAAAAGGGCTTTTCTTCTAATTTGATGGACCATTTCTCTTTCTCTTTCTCCATCTCAGTCTGGTGTAGCACTTGATAGTGTCCAATGAATATTCATGATAACTGATTTCTTCCCAGCGGCAGTACTGCATGCAGACAGAGAGGTTCTAACTGATCACTGCTGATCTGTAGACTACAATTTAAAACCAGCCTGGTTAATTCACAAACAGAAAAACAATCTGTTTACACAAAACATTGTATTTGGAGTACTAAGATCTGTAAATTGTTATTTTTTTCTTTCAAATATAGCAATCACATTTAAAAAAGGAATTTTCTGGATAATTAAAGTAGCTCCTCTACTTTCCCTAAGTGTTGGTTAGGAAGGCAGTCTCATGTACAAAGAGCTATGTGTTTATTCTTTTTTAATGTATGGAACCACAAGGATTTTTTGATAAATTTTCTTTTAGAATTGTTTGTAAATTCAGATGTGTGCTTGATATTAGGATTTGGTGGAACCGCTGCAGAAGGATTTGAAAGAGCTTCATGATGCCAATATAACAATGAAATAAATACATCAGCAGCTGATTATATAATCTATTTACTTATTTGATGTAGGATAGATTTTAAAATGCAGATAATTGAAAACATTCATAATTCCATCAATTTTGAACTTGTAAACATTGTCTTGGATTCAGGATATTCCAGCTAAGGAGAGATGCTTCTCTGTTATGCCATGACTCAGGCTCAGGCTCAGGCTCAGGCACACTGACTTTGAAGTAGGTAAAAGGATGGGAAGGTTAAGGGAGCGAAATGGAGAGACTGGTTGAGCAGCAATTGAGTAGGAAATGTGAGATCTCACAAAGTCAGTGTGTACTGGTGAAGTGAAGTGTAAATGTCTACAGAATTTCAGGTTCCCTGGTAAAAGGTGCTGTCACAATACAAAGCAAAGAGGTGTAAAGTGTGTTGGTACTGGCATGCATGAACATTTACAGTTACTTTAAACACTTTCAAAACACCATGCCTCCCACAGCTTAAAAAATTATTTATTTATTTTAATTGTGTGTGGGAGGTTGGGGGGGTGTTGGGAAAGGAGAGCATTTGTCAATAAATTCTTAGTTCTCTGATTATAAACAGAGGCACACCGGAGTACCATATTTTAATTAGAAACCTGGGACCAGGGAGGATTACCCCAGAAATACATTAATTTTCAGTTCTTGGAGCTTATAGGGTGATCTTATTATTGCAGAAAGCAGCGAAGGAAGGCTGTGACAGAAGCAGATATTTTGAATGAGAAGAAAGTTTAGAGAAACTTCCCCAAATCAAAAATTGATTGTTGTTTGCAAAATATGTCTTAAAGACAAATCTAGTTAATATTGGGTTTGAAGATTTCATAACATTCTTAGATAATAGGCTGAAAGAAAATGTATTACCAGTCTGACTGAAAAAGTGTAGCTTATAATTATTTTTATTTCTTACCAATGACTTGCCCTTATAAGTTAGAAGGAAAAGAGCACTTACCAATGTAAGTTTGATTTTATATCAATAGAATTAGAAAATATTTCAAATAATACTGACAAAATATTTTTTGTCACATATATTTAACACCACGACTGATTTGCTCCAGTTTTTTGAAAAAACACCTTTAAATAAATTAATAATCTTAGCCCTCCTTTGTGTCCTTCACTGCTATGATCTGAATGTGTCCTCCAAAATCCCTGTGTTGGAAGCTTTATCTACAGTGCAGTAGTGTTGGGAGGTGGGGCTTTTTGGTAGGTGTTTAGATCGTGAGGACTCTACCCTTATGAATGAATTAATGCCATTATAAAGGGATTGATGAGCAGACAACAAACATAGGAAAAAATGCTCATCATCATGAATCAGAGAAATGCAAATCAAAATCACAATGAAATGCCATCTCATACTAGTCAGAATGGCTATTATTAAAAGTTAGAAAAAAACAAACAAACAAACAAAAAAAACAACCAGATGCTGGTGAGGCTCTAGAGAAAGAAGAATGATTATACACTGTTGGTGGGAATGCAAATTATTTCAGCCGCTATGGAAAGCAATTTGGAGATTTTGAAAAGAATTTAAAGCAGAACTCCTTTTCGACTCAGTGATCCCATTATTGGATATGTACCAAAGGAAAATAACTTATTCTACCAAAAAGACACATGCACTAGTGTGTTCATTACAGCATTATTCACAATAGTAAAGACATGGAATCAACCCAGATGCCCATCCATGGTAGACTGGATAAAGAAAATGTAATACATATGTATCTTAGAATACTATGCAGCTATAAAAAGAAATAAATCATTTCATTTTCAGCAATATGATACAACTGAAGGCCGTCATCTTAAGTGAATTAATTCAGGAAGAAAAAATCAAATACTGCATGTTCTTACTTATAAGTGGGAGCTAAGCATTGGGTACACATGGACATAAAGATGAGAACAGTAGACTGTAGGGACTACTAGAGGGGAGAAAGGGAGGAGGGTTGAAAAATTACCTGTTGGGTACTAAGCTTACTACCTGGGTGATGGGATCATTGATATCCCGAACCTCACACAGTATACCCATGTAACAAACCTGCACATGTGTTCTCTGAATCTAAAATAAAAGTTGAAATTATATTTTAAAAAGGGTCTTGATGGAGTTTATCTCTTTCTTGCCCTTTTGTCACTATATTAAAAAGAGTTCAGTATAGTGGCAGAAACAATTTACTTCTGAACAGGCATAGAAATTCCCATGAGGTAAACTTAAATGCAAGAGGCAGTGTTTATACTAAGAAATTTGAGTATAGAATAATGGCATTCACCTAGATAATTCTGTACAATATTTATAATTTACTAATAACGAAAAGAATTAGTTTTTGAAAAACAGTTTGAATTACATGGAAAATTTTCTGGTTCTGAGTTTACTTGTATATCCACTATTATGGAAGTGGTCTACTTAGTCATAATTATTTATATCTACAGTCCAGCAGAAATAGAATGTGAGCCATAAAGCAGAGCCACGTATGTCATTTAAAATTTTCCAATAGCCACATTAAAATGGTAAAAAGAAACAGGTGAGATTAAATTTAATTATATGTTTTATCAAACTCAGTATATCTAAAATATTATTTTTAACATAGCAATTAAAAACTACTGAAATATTTCATATTACTTATAAAACACTAAGTGTATTAGTTTATTTTAATGATTTCATGAAGAAATACCCCAGATTGGGTAATTTATAAAGAAAAAAGGTTTAATTGATTCACAGTTCCACATGGCTGGGAAGGCCTCAGAAAACTTACTATTATAGTGGAAGGCATCTCTTCACAGGGTGACAGGAGAGAGAGCCAGCAGGGGAAATGCCAGATGCTTATAAAACTATCAGATCTCATGAGAACTCACTCACTACCATGGGAAGAGCATGGGGGAAAACCACCCCCACGATTCAATTACCTCCTACCAGGTCCCTCCCACAACATGCGGGGATTATGGGGATTATAGTTAAAGATGAGATTTGGGTGAGAACACAGCCAAACCATATCACTAAATCTTTGAAATCTGATATAAATTTTCCACTTATAAAACATCTGAATTGGGATTAGCCATATTCTAAGTGCTCAATAATTATATGAGTTTTAAAACTATTATACTGGACAGTGTAGCTCTATATCACCTGACACGATAGGGTGCCTTCTACACTAAGTTATCTGTGTGATTGTGTAGATCTACAAGCACAGAGCTGAACAGGATCCCAAAGTAGGTTGGTATTTTTTTCTTTGTAAGGAGGCTTGCATACTGCTACTACAAAACATTAAAAATTATAAAAAGGATCTGAAATTTGAACTGTTTTATACTACTAGATGTGGTGATTGCTGAAAACATCATTTTTAAAAAACATTAATATGATATCATTTGTAGAGTCAGCAAGGAATAAAGTACAAGTTTTTTTTATGGACTTAAGTTGACATTTCTCCAAAGATGATGTACGGGTGATCAATGGGCACATAAAAATATCCTTAACATCACTAGGAAATCTTTAGGGAAATATGAATCAAAGCCATAATGCAACATCACTTCACACTCATTAGGATAGCTATTATTAAAGAAAAAGAAACAGAAAACAAGTATTGGTGAGGATGTAGAGAAATTGCAACCCTTGTGCACTGCTGGTGGGCATGTAAAATAGTGTAGCTGCCATGGAAAACAATATGGCAATTCCTCAAAAATAAACATAGAATTACCATATGATCTAGCAATTCCACTTCTGGGTATATACCCCAAATAATTGAAAGCAGATTTTTGAATAGATGTATGTAAACTCATGTTCTTAGCAGCATTATTTACAGTAGTCCAAAAAGTGGAAGCAACTTAAGTGTTCATGGTGGATAAATGAATAAGCAAAATGTAGTATACAAGCATAGTGGACTATTATTCAGCCTTAAAAAGGATGAAAATTTGGGCACATTGTGTAGTATGAATAAACCTTGAGGACATTACGCTAAACAAAATAAGTCAGACACAAAAGGACGAATGCTATATGATTTCACCCATATGAGGTAGTTAGAGTAGTCAAATTCATAGAGACAGAAAGTAGAATGGTAGATGCCAGGAGTTAAGGGAAGGGAGGAATGGGGGAGATAGTGTTTAATGGGTACAGTTTGAGATTTGCAAGATGAAAATTGTTTTCTGGATGGATGGTGATATTGGTTGTACAGCAATGTGAATGTACTTAATGCCACTGAAATGTACACTTAAAATAGTTAAAATAGGGGCAGGTGCAGTAACTCATGCCTGTAATCCCAATATTTTGAGACTGAGTTGGGAGGATCACTTGAGCTCAGGAATTTGAGACCAATCTGGGCAACAGAACAAGGCTCAATCTCTACAAAAAATAGAAAAAATTAGCTGGGTATGGTGCCCTGTGTCTGCAGTTCTGGCTACTTGGGAAGCTGATGCAGGAGGATTGCTTGATCCCAGGAGGCCAAGCCTGCAGTGAGCTATGATCTTGCCACTGCACTCCAGCCTGGGTGACAGAGAGAGATGGTGTCTCTAAGAATTTTTTACAAAAGATTAAAATAGTAAAGTTTATGTTATTTATATTTTATCATAATTAAAAATAAGTGATTTTTAAAAAGTACAAGTTTGCTTTGAAAAGAGTCTACATTATTATTTGTCTCTGCTTGATTTTCTATTTGTTTCAT